CTTCCCCAGTGGCTCAACGGGTAAAGAATCCACCTGCAATGCAAAAGCCTCAGGAGATGCAGGTTCAATCTCTGGGTTGGGAGGATCCTTTGGAGGAGGGAACGGCAACCCACCCCAGGATTCTTTCCTGAAAAGTTCCATGCAGAGGAGCCGGGTAGGCTGCCATAGTCCATAGGGTCTCAAAGAGTCAGACATGACTGAAAGATTTGAGCATAAACAAGAAAGTGTTATACATAGGATGGATAAAAAACAGGGTCCTATTGTAAAGCACAGGGAACTGTATTCAATATCCTGAATAAACCATAATGAAAAAGAATATGAAGAAGTATGTGTGTATATATGTGTATAACTGAATCACTTTGCTGCCCAGCAAAAATTAACACAACATTGTAAATCAAGTATACTTCAATAAAATAAACTGAAAAATAAAACCACAGTTCTTTAGGATCCTCTATCACTTATTTATTTGTGTGAAGAAGTCCAGAGACTAGAGTTTGTGATCACTGCTGTAGAGTTTTATGCAAACCAGTGGCTAAAAAGAGATTAACTGTAGAGGAAATGAATTTATTGGGTTTGTGGGGTACCAGGCTGGAAGAAACTGCAGCCAGAGGACACAAAAATATTCCCGTGTCCCTGGTGGGAACCTGGGCATCAAAGCCATAGAAGATTTGCTGTAAAAGCAAGTGGAGGACCCCCAGGACTTGCTCTGATCAAGTCACGGCTTTGCCTGAGGATACACCTGGCACCTTCACTGAGTTGGATCTGCCTCTCGCCAGTTTGGTCTGGCATCCTGCTGCCTTAGCAAATGAAATGCTTGTCATGTCACTAGTGGAAAAAAATAGAGATGACCAGCAATTCCCAATGCTTGGCCAATTGTCACCCTCAACACTACAAGTTCTCAAAAGGCCTGTGCAGAGTGGACAAGCCAAGTACATGTTAGTTGCTTATTACTATTATCATTGTAGAAATGGGCTCCAGATGGGTCAGTGAAAACCCTGGTCTCTGAGCTCTGGGACACACCCCAGTTCTGGTGGAAGACTTCCTTTGCTGTTTTGGTCTAAGCCCAAAACAAGACATATCAGAGAACCTTCTGTCACCTCCCATCTCCAGCTTGCTGCCTGGAGCCTTCTTTGGAGAAGTAGTGGAGAAAACAATTATCATCATCACTGACATCTGATATTCATGTCACCCCTGCCCTAAGCCTGAAGCCTGGCCTCCTCCATTCCTTCCTCCTACAGGCTTTTGAGGCCAAACAGCTGAGGTGCCAAGCATAAAGAAGATGTATAAAACAAAAAGCAAAGAATTAGACTCCAAGGAAAAAACATCTCTCCCTCCAAGGCTGGTCTTGACACCTATGAGGTCCTGGTGTTGGGGTGAGCGTAGGGGCAGGATAGGAAGGAAACTCCTAGACTGGAGTGGAAAAACACAGAACCACAAAGAAGACCTATATATTTTGTCCTAAAGGATAGAGATAAGAGCTTTCAGTTTAATTCCTTCCATTCCTGAAAAGCCTCAAATTAATCAAACCACCATCTTGGATTTCACCTGGTGAGACTATTTCCTTTTGCGAGGAACCAGAAAACATTTTTATTCACCAGGACCCTTGTTCAGCAAAACACAGTAGTGGGGGGGTGGGGAATGCCTTAAAAAAAACCCTGGGGGAGCTTCCCTGCTGGTTCAGTGGTGAAGAATCCACCTGCCAATGCAGGAGACACTGGTTCGATGCCTGGTCCAGGAACATCCCACACCCTTCTGAGCAACTAAGCCCGTACACCACAACTATTGATCATGTGTTCTAGATCCCGGAAGCGGAAACTGACTGAGCCAAGCCCGTGCTCACCAGGAGAAGCCACCACAATAAGAAGCCTGAGCACCGCAATTATAGCGTAGCCCCTGCTCGCTGCAACTAGAGGAGAGCTTGCACATCAGTGAAGATACAGCACAGCCAATAAATAGGTCAATAAAATTTTTTAAAACTTTATAAATAAATAAATCGAAAGAAAACCCCCTGGGACTCGTGACTGAGGCTCCTGGCCTGGGAGTTGGCTCATCCCAAGGCTTGAGAGTGGAGAATAAAAACTACCTAAGGAACAAACAAGGAAAGATTTCTGTTTTGTTCTTGCTAGAGAAAGAGGAGTAAGAACAGAGCCTGAAAAGGAAAGCAAGAACCCCTCAAATATCTCCACAAATGTCGTGAGACTGGAGAAAAAAATAAAGGTATTTTGAAAAGGGGTATAATGGAGTTACATGAAATCATGTGAGTGAAACTTTTGAAAAGTGTAAAGCACGGTAGAATGTAAAAACTCTTTTATTCAATTTAAAGACTGTGACAAAATGCTTTGAAATAAAGTTTTCCCATTCATGACATTCAAATTCTTTAAAAAAATATTGCCATGGCCACATTTCAATAAACATTCTTATATCTAAACAAACAAACATAAAAAGCTAATATATGCATACAAAAAAAGAAAACAAGTGTGTAGACATGAGTCAAAATGGGAGGAACTGTGGTGGGCCATGGGCTTCCCCCGCGACTCAGTGATAAAGAGTCCACCTGCAATGCAGGAGTCGCAGGAGACACAGGTTCAATCCCTAGGTTGGGGAGATCCCCAGGAGGAGAGCATGGCAACCCACTCCAGAATTCTTGCCTGGGAAATCCCATGGATAGAGGAGCTCGGTAGGTTACAGTCCACAGGGTCACAAAGAGTGAGACACAACTGAAGCGACTTAGCACAAATGCACGAGTGGCCAGGGACGCAATGGAGAATCTCAGAAATGGGCAGCAGCCTTTGGAAGGATCACAAGCGTTGGTCTTTAGGGTCTGAGACCAGTTCTCTTGGTTGTGCAAGAAGCAGGAAGACCTCGCCGCCGGACATCCAAGTCGCTCTTCCCACACGGCCTTGGAGGGCAATGGTTCTCTCACCCCACATCACCTTGTCGATTCTCTTAGATGTGGTCACACAAGAGCCCGGGGCAGCTTATTGCTCTTCATCTCTTGCTTTTATTAAGGCAACAACCTCTTCCTCTCCATCTGGCAGGGTAATTACTGATGTAATTGAAAACATCTCTGTATTCTGGTTCTGGTTTCAATCCCTAGGTTGGGGAGATCCCCAGGAGGAGAGCATGGCAACCCACTCCAGAATTCTTGCCTGGGAAATCCCATGGATAGAGGAGATCGGTAGGCTACAGTCCACAGGGTCACAAAGAGTGAGACACAACTGAAGCGACTTAGCACAAATGCATGAGTGGCCGGGGATGCAATGGAGAATCTCAGAAATGGGCAGCAGCCTTTAGAAGGATCACAAGCATTGGTCTTGAGGGTCTGAGACCAGTTCACTTGGTTGTGCAAGAGGCAGGAAGACCTCGCCGGACATCCAAGTCGCTCTTCCCACACGGCCTTGGAGGGCAGTGGTTCTCTCACCCCACATCACCTTGTCGATTCTCTTAGATGTGGTCACACAAGAGCCCAGGGCAGCTTATTGCTCTCCATCTCTTGCTTTTATTAAGGCAACAACCTCTTCCTCTCCATCTGGCAGGGTAATTACTGATGTAATTGAAAACATCTCTGTATTCTGGTTCTGGCTCTGCCAGCAAGTGCCTGGGTGTCCGTGGGCAGGCCCTCATCTCTTCACACCTCAGGGTCCTGATTTGTAAAATGATGGACTTGAGAAGGGAAAGGCTGAGTTAATTATCTCTTAGGTCCCTTACAAATCCTAGTGCAGTGAATCTTGCCGTATTAATCTTGCATGCATCTTCATTCCTACTTGAACTCACCCTTGTGACAAAATATCTTTTATTGTAGAAATGAAAGAATCAGCCATTCTTTTAAATAGAAGTTATTTCCTTAGTGGCTATTTCTCCATTAAGAACACAGAGTATCTTAACATGCACTGTTTTTGTTTCTCACAATAATCTTTTTTTTGAAGCTAAGAGGAACCAGATAGATGGTGTTCATATATTTTGTTTAGTTTTCCTTTTATGTCTTTTACCAGTCTTATGGGTGTTCTCTTATTTGTGTCTGCCTGCCTGTCACCTTAGATTATTAGATCATTGAGAGTTGGAACAAAATGATTCTCACTTCTGTATCCTCCTAAGACTCAGAGACTATCCTTTGTATAAAGTAAGCATTGAATAGATATTTGTTCAGTTGAATTGAAGTTTGTATCAAACCAAAAATTTTAAGTTATTGCTTTGTGGTAGGTTTGGTGGTGCTGCACGAATAAACTAATTCACAAATCTCAGTTTTATTGTTGTATTTTTTTCAAATCTCAGTTTTAATACAGTAGAGTGTTCTTTTCCTTTGTTGAGGCGAAGTCAGCTATGTGAGGTGGGATTTGGGAAGAAGGTATTTCTGCTCCACAGAGCCACTCAGGACCCAGGCTGAGGAAAATCCTATTCTGACTCTCCTACTTTCTAGAGCACATGGCATCTTTAGGGAAAGAGGCTGAAAATTTTCTGAAGGGCTTTCCTGCCTTCTGTACCCATTTCATTGGCCGGAACTAATCACACGGCACTGCCTGACTAGTAGAAGTGTTTGGGGTTGTGTGAACTCTTATATTTTTAGGCAAGAATAGTGTCCTCAAACTTGACGATCACTAGCAATGTTGACCACATGATTCACTCAGTAGGTCTAATATTTTGGAGATAATGGACTCCTTTGAGAACCTTTGACCGTTCTGATACCCGTCCCGGAAACAAACACATCTGTGGTGAAACACTCAACATAATTGTCAGTTTTTCATGCATTTCCAACCCCATTCACTTCTTTCCTATGAATCCCTGAACCCAGATTATGAACCCTATGACAGAATCCACAGGCATGTTTAGCACCTGGTAACAGATCAACAGATGGAAAAAATATGTTACAGTGTTCTGTTTGATTTTGTGTTAGGAAGAGCCTATTTATTTACTTGCTCATTTGTTGCTCATTTACTTGCTCAGATCTGGCATCGGACAAGATATGTGACCAATGGATTTTCCTCTGTGTTTGTTTTTATCAGGAGAAATTTGAGGGTCTGTTCCGGACTTACGATGACTGTGTGACGTTCCAACTGTTTAAGAGTTTCAGACGTGTCCGAATAAACTTCAGCAATCCCAAGTCTGCAGCCCGAGCCAGGATAGAGCTTCATGAAACCCAATTCAGAGGGAAAAAGTTAAAACTCTACTTTGCCCAGGTAAGATCATTCTTTTCCAGAGTTAATCCATCTGCCCTACATTGTCTTTTTACCTTTTCAAAATGTAAATGAATCCCTTGCTACTTTCAGATGGCTTTGTAGTCTGTAATTAGTTCACTAAAAAATAAATTTATATCATGGTTCCCAGGCAGGGACCACATAGTGGTTTAGAAAACAGGCTCTGAGGGCCCACGACAGCCTTGGTTCTAATCTAGGCAAGTTATATAACCTCACTGGGCCTCAGTTTCCCCATCTGCAAAATGGAGATGATGACATACTCCTTACACTGTCACGAGGATTAAATGACTTATTGTGTGTTAAAGTGCTTAGCATTTTGTAAATAAATGCCCAGTAAAGACCAGCTAATACTTGTAATAAGAATGGGCTCATCACAGCTACTGGAGACAGAAATGGTAGTAACTGTTTAATGGGTCCAGGATTTCCTCTGGAGTAATAAAAGTACTTTGAATCTTGATAGGAGTGGTGATTGCACAGCACTGGTCATAGACTAAATGACACCGAAATTGTTCAGTTTAAAATGGCTTAATTTCAAGTTATGTGAATATCACCTCAGTTAAAAGAGAAAGAGAGAGGAAGGGAGAGAGATAGATGGAAGGAAGGGAAAAGGATATGAAGGAAGGATGGGAAGGAGGGGAGGGACACAGAGGGGAGAGAAAGAAGGGAAGAAAAGGAAAGGTCTGAGGACCAGCAGCATCAGCATCACCTGGGAATTCGTTAGCAATGCAGATTCTCTGACCCTGACCCTGTCAACTGACTCAGAAACTCCAGGAGTGGGAGTCAGCACTCTGTCTTGGTCAGCTTCCCAGGTCATTCTTATGCAGCTAAAGGCTGAGATCCACTGTTTTAAGAATCAAGTGAGAGTGGTCAGTAGTCATTATTATTGCAGCCTGGTTCATTGGTTCATTTGTCACAGGCTAAAGGCCAGGCTCTGCATCCCAGTGGAACAGCACAGCATATCCGAGGCCAAAATGAATAATGCGCCTTCATTTCTCCTGTGTTTGAAAGGTTCAGACTCCAGAGACAGACGGAGACAAACTGCATTTGGCTCCACCACAGCCTGCCAAACAGTTCCTCATCTCACCCCCTGCCTCTCCGCCCGTCGGCTGGCAGCCCATCAGCGATGCCACACCCGTCCTTAACTATGACCTCCTCTATGCTGTGGCCAAACTAGGACCAGGTAAGCTCTGTGGCCCTTTCTGGAAATAAACATTTGGCAGCTGCTTGGAAAAGCCGAACAAGATGAACCATCCTAAAATCCTGGCTTCCTTGTGACATCTGCATTTCTTTTTTTTCTCATAATTTTTTTAATGTGGATTTATATGTTTACTTTTGGCTGTGCTGGTTCTTGGTTGCTCTGCGGGCTCTTTTGTACTTGCTGTGAAGCAAGGCTACTCTCTAGTTGCAGTGGGAGGGCTTCTCATTTCAGCGGCTTCTCCTGTTGCAGAACACAGGCTCTAGGGTGCAAGGGTTTCAGAAGTTCAGCACGTGGGCTCAGTAGTTGCGGCTCCCGGACCCTGGAGCACACGCTCAATAGCTGTGGACACACGGGCTTAGTTGCTCCTCAGCATGTGGGATCTTCCAGGATCAGGGATCGAACCCATGTATCTCCTGCATTGGCAGACGGATTCTTTACCACTGAGCCACCAGGGAAGTCCAACATCTGCCTTCCTAATGAATTTATCTCTGTATGTAGACAGCCAGAGGGATGATGAATGAAAACGCAGCATCAGACTTTGTACCTGTTCAAAAGCAATTCAGGAACTGGCACTGAAATGTCAGTCCCAGCTTCTGGATTGCAGTGCAGATATTTTAAGATTGCAAAACAGGCAAAATGAGCTCTACAAGCTGGCACAAGGCTTCTAGACTGTGCAACCTTGTTTAACTGCTGCCACGGTGTGCCCAGGAATCCTTGGCTACAAAACAATCTATTGGCAAAGTGACACCTCTAAGACCCCCAGGGAAGCCAGTCACATTAGCCTTTAACTTTAGAAAAAAATCTATGGTCATTTTGTTCTGATGCTGGTACCTGTAGCTTGGATACTCTCATTTTCACTATGGTGCATTTTTCAATCGGGCAAGTCCATTACCACTAGGTATTCATCCACTCTCCTGCTGATGGCCATTTAGATGGTTTCCAGTTTCTTGCCATTACAATCCAAGCCACAGTTAACATTCCTGTACGTATTTCTTACACAGTTATCCAAAAGCTGTGTTTTTATACCTAGAAGTGATACTGTCCTCAGTTTCAGCTGATGGTGCCATCTTGTACTCCAAAGTAGTTTTCCTATATTATAGCTAGAGGGGAAATGGTGGAAGGTGGGTGGGCCACAACCAGGTGGCAGCTGAGCTTTTAAGCACCAAAGATCTGAAAGTAAATAATAGTCATTGTATCTGCTGTCTGTACTGGTGGTTCTCCCAGTGTGAGAGGGGGCTGACTGCACACCCCAGAAATTCTAATTTAACTGATTTGGATCAAATCAAGCATCAGTATTTTTAAAAAAAATCTCCCCGGGTGATTCTGATGTGCAGATGAGTTCAAGAATCATTGGTAGCCAAATGCCAGGGATGATAAATTTATAATAAGTTCTTACCAGTATTTCTTAGATTTGGCATTAGTATCTCTCACCCCAGAAATCTCAAGTTTTAATAACACATACGGGTTTTCATGGTGACTCAGATAGCAAAGAGTCTGCCTGCAATGCCGGAGACTAGAGTTTCATCCGTGGGTCAGGAAGATCCCCTGGAGAAGGGAACGGCTACCTACTCCAGGTTTCTTGCCTGGAGAATCCCATGGACAGAGGAGCCAAGAGGGCTACAGTCCATGGAGTTTCGAAGAGTCAGACATGACTGGCTTGACTTTCACTTTCACTTCACTTTTTTTTTTTATTGATTGTTGCATACCCTGAAATTTAAGAATCCTGAGTATGAGGGTGACCCACTGTCTTGGTGCCCTCAGACTTAGGGGATTCCTGGGAACTTGGGATGCCAAAACCAAGAAATCCCCAGGCAATTCAGGAAAAGCTGATCATCCTACTGGGTCTTCAGATTGATATGAGGCTGACGTGATGAATAATTACTTCCTGCAAGAGAATTACTGGCTGTCCCATGTGTGGCCTTAAAGTTAGATTACAGCACTTTCAACAGCAGTGTCTTTGGGGAGTTTCTTTGTAATCACTGTCTAGTCACTGAGCTTCTCGGAGCCTTTAAAATAGCTATTGGTTTCTACTACTGAGAAGCAGGGGGTATCCAACTACCAAGATGGGCTGATAAAAGAAGCAATAATAAGGGAGATGTTTGTGGAATGTGATTTCCTTGAAAGTCTGGTCCACATACAGGAATTCCGAGCATATGCACTCCCATCCCATGACTCTCTCCAAGAGTCTGCCTGCAATGCAGGAGACCCGGGTTCACTTCCTGGGTTGGGATGATCCCCTGGAGAAGGAAATGACAACCCACTTTGGTATTCTTGCCTGGAGAATCCCATGGACAGAGGAGCCTGGCGGGCTATAGTCCATGGGGTCACAAGAGTCAGACACGACTTAGTGATTAAACCAGCACCACCACTCCCAAGAGAGCCTTGTGTGTGATATGTGCAAATGTTGTAGAGTGTGTGAAATAAATCAGGTCTGCTGAAGTCAAGCCTGTGACCCATTTCCCCCGGTCATTTCAGGATACTTTATTTTTAGTTTAATTTTATTTATTTATTCTTTTTGGCCGTGCTGAGTCTTCATTGCTGCACCCAGGCTTTCTCTAGCTGCAGTAAGTGGGGCCCGCTCTCTAGTCATGATGTGCGGGCGTCCCATTGTGGCGGCTTCTCTTGTTGTGGAACACGGGCTCTAGGGTACTCGGCTTCAGTAGTTGCAGCCCTGGAGCACAGACTCAGTACTTGTGGCACAGGAGCTTAGTTGCCCTCAGCATGTGGGATCTTCCCGGACTTTGTGGCGGCTTCTCTTGTTGTGGAACACGGGCTCTAGGGTACTCGGCTTCAGTAGTTGCAGCCCTGGAGCACAGACTCAGTACTTGTGGCACAGGAGCTTAGTTGCCCTCAGCATGTGGGATCTTCCTGGACTAGGGATCGAACCCAAGTCCCCTGCACTGGCAGGTGGATTCTTAATCACTGGCCCATCAGAGAAGTCCCACTCAGAACACTTCAAAAGCAGGACCATGAAAGCTGCTATCCTTCTAGCTGCTGGTTTGACTGCCAAGATTTTAACAACAACACAGTTGAACATCTGTACAGCTGTTTTGAATGTCAGCAAACAGAGCTCTACAGAGAATCACTGAGGTCTTGGCTAGAGGGCCTAGGGGTTCCCAGGTAGCGCTAGTGGTGAAGAATCTGCCTGCCAATGCAGGAGACTCAAGAGATGCAGGTTCGATCCCTGGGTCAGGAAGATCCCCTGGAGGAGGAAATGGCGACTCACTGCAGCGTGCTTGTCTGGAGAATCCCATGGCCAGAGGAGCCTGGCAGGCTACAGTCCATGGGGAGACAAAGAGATGGACACGGCTGAGCACCTGAGCACGCTTAGAGGGCCTAGGGGGTCACTGCCAACTTGCGTTTCACAGGAGAGGAGCCTGAGGCCCTGAGAGGGAAGCAGGAAGGACGCCAGTGACAGGACCAGGGCGCCACAGCAGCACTCTTCCTAGTTCACTCTCTATAAAGGAGGCCCAGGCTACGGCAGACTTTCAGGTCCCAGCTGGCCTCAGGTCCACTCACTTGGAGCCTGTAATCCAGTAAATTCAAATCATTTTTTTTTTCAAATCATTTTTAATCTAGAGCCAGAAAGAAAATTGATCTATAGCTAATGTTCACAGAACATGACGCAAAGGGAATATAAGGGCAAGTCTCAGACCACCTCACTGGCTCGTGGAGCTGAGTCCCTGGCCTGAGGCCAGCGCCGGGGGACCGGTGTAGCCTGGGACTGACAGAGGCAGGAGTGGAGGCAGTGGGATCAGGCCTCAGAAGGGCTGCTCACAGGGCATGGTACAGAGGAGCAAGGAAGTAGGAAGAAGGTGACCTTAAAGAGACAGAAAAGAAGAGGGCTTCTTTTTAGAATTGTGAGTAATTTATCAATAGTGTTAAAAATGCATGCCCTTTGCCTTAATTTTATGGCTTAACCTGTGACCGTCACCTTCCCTTTTGTTGTCGTTTAGTCGCTCAGTCGTGTCTGACCCTCTGCAACCCCATAGACTACAGCACGCAAGGCTTCCATGTCCTTCACTATCTCCTGGAATTTCCTCAAACTCATGTCCATTGAGTTGATGATGCCATCCAACCATCTCATCCTCTGTCGTCCCCTTCTCCTCCTGCCTTCAATCTTTCCCAGCATCAGATCTTTTCCAACAAGTCCGCTTTTCACACCAGGTGGCCAAAGTGTTGGAGCTTCAGCTTCAGCATCAGTCCTTCCAGTGAATATTCGGGGTTGATTTCCTTTAGGATTGACTGGTTTGATCTCCTTGTAGTCCAAGGGACTCTGAAGAGCCTTCTCCAAGTAAGTCTTGGAGTAAATTTACTTCACCAAGTAAATCTACGAACTTTGAAGTATCCTGCTGCGCAGTCAACTCAAACATAGGCTCTGTTAATATCCCCATTTTTCAGATCAGACCACTGAGCGGTAGAGGGGTGAGTGCATTTGCCCACAGTGACGCAGCTAGTTGGAGGCAGAGACAAATGTCCCTGGCTCTTCTGACCACCACTTGGCCAGATCCAGTGGCCTCTGTTAAGGATAGAGGCCACCCTGGCTGCCTGGGTGGGCTTTAGGCTGTCTCTGCTCTGAGATGGGCAGAACATGTAGCCCAAACCTGCATTGACAGTCACCTCTAACACCATCATAACTTCCAGAAAGGCTGACCCAGAGCCTGATAAGTGTGTAAATGAAGGCCTGTGTGCAGTGTGTGCAAGAGTGAATATGGAGGGCCTCCTGCTCTTTACAGTTGACTGACGTCATGTCCCGTAAAACAGCTGCAGTTTGGGTGTCTTCTCTTTATCTTTTCCTCCATTGTTTGTCCGCAGTTTAAGGTTGTTTCTCTTTCATTTCATTATCCACGTGTCCCCTCCCAGTGTCCTTAAGGCTTCTACACTCCACACAGATAAACGATTTATATCCAACAACTGAACTGAAAATCTCACTCAGGTTCTAGTAGAAGCCTGGGCCTCTGGCCGCTGTTTCAGCTGCAGTG